TATGGAGATGAGGAATTCATTTTCCAGCATGATCTGGCACCTGCCCACAGTGCCAAAACCACCAGTAACTGGTGTACTGACCATGGCATTACTGTCCTCGATTGGCCTGCAAATTCCCCTGACCTGAACCCCATAGAGAATATGTGGGGTATTGTGAAGAAGAAGCTGAAAGACACCAGACCCAACAATGCTAATGAGCTAAAGGCCGCTATTGAAGCATCCTGGGCATCCATAACACCTCAGCAATGCCACAGGCTGATTGCCTCCATGCCACGCCGCATTGATGCAGTAATCCGTGCAAAAGGATTCCCAACCAAGTACTGAGTGCATTAATGGACATTTTCAAATGTTTGATTGTGTTTTGCTGTTATAAATCTTTTTTTTTTACTTGGTCTGAGGAACTATTCTAATTTTTTGAGATAGGATTTTTGAGTTTTCTTAAGCTGTATGCCATAATCAGCAATATTAAAATAATAAAAGGCTTGCAATATTTCAGTTGATTTGTAATGAATCCAGAATGTATGACATTTTTGTTTTTTTAATTGCATTACAGAAAATAAAGAACTTTATCACAATATTCTAATTTTCTGAGACAGTCCTGTACACCTGAAAATGAGAGGGGGCCCGTTAATGAAACGAGATGCCATTGTCTTTATGGTACAGTAAGCAGCAGTACATTGCAGATCATTTAACCTGCCTGTCTGTTGTGCAGATTGACGCTTACTTTGAAGAAGACCTGATGCGGAGCTTGGACATCTACAGACAGTCCAGCTCAGAAAACAACACAGACATCAAAAAGGACTTTGATACCGTCCAGCACTTGGTAAATGATACGCCAGTCTCTTTTATCAAATGAAGTCCATTGCTGTTTGTCTTTGTAACCGTCCTGTGGTCTCTTGTTGGCAGTGCTGTTAGCCTAGCCTTCAGCACCCAGTTCTGATGGTTTCAGCTGATTAAGTGGGCCTGGACCAGATGGGCCTGCTACCTATCCTATTCTATTATCCATTCACTCCTAAGTGAATGAAACGCAACGTTGTGAACACAAACAACATCTGATTCAGAAAGGTTTGGAAAACCATACAGCAACTTTGGATTTAGGCAACACAATTACAACTTTTCTAGGTTTAGACAATACAACCAGTTATTAACATTTAATCAACTATAAGAATAACATTTTTTGAAAGAAATGTGACTTTGTAACATGTTGAAATACCAAATATTTAAACCCCCACTCACTCAGTAAATATAAAATTATACAAAAAATAGTTTATTTGCAGCTAAACGTAATCTTCTATGGAGTATTTTGTACCGGTGACTTCCTCCATCACGCCTGTCATAATATTTACAATCACTAGAGGTCAGTGTCATCTTCCTCTATTACTTCTTCTGGTGCTCAATTGTGTATAAAGTTGATAAAACCTTCTAGTATGTACAGTAGCAGGCCCCTTCTGACCTGCATCTCTGAGGCTGATAACCCCTAATAACTGTCATTTATTTGGTTCAAAATATCAGGACCAGGACATCAGCTGACCGAGAACCAGTTCCCAACCACGTTCATCAATATTTAGTTGGATATGCAATTCTCACATATGACTTCACATTGATAAAATGCTCTGATGAAGGACAAACGATAAAGAGCGTTTAATTGAATAAAACAAAAAAAGAACATGTTGAAGCCTAAGTGCAGGAATAAGATCTGCAGCTCACCTAGAGGAGTGCAATGTACATTTCCCTGCTGTGGGACTAATAAAGGATTTCTGATTCTGAGAGGTGCTCTTTAATATTGATTCCAAATAGGTTCAGTATGCTCAAAGTAAGTAACCCCTCATTCAGAGGAGCAAAGACAGCAAATAAGTCTCAAAGGGGTCTAAAGACCAAAGCTCCAGGCTGAATCTGCATTAGGTGGAAAAGGATCAGGATCTACTTTTATCTAACTCTAATGAAAGGGCATCGTCACACTCTGATGCGCCCAAAAGGAACTGCAACAAGCTTCTCTGAATTTATAATAAGTATCTACTCCATACTCCCTGCACATGCACAACATGTGATCTGATTACCTTAAATAAGCTACCGTGAAAATATGAATTGTGACATTCAGCTAAAATGAATGGAAAAAGGGAAAATATAACAAGTAAGGGACTGCTACACCTTATATGATATTCTTAATGTCTTTGTGTTGATTTGAGTATTAGCTATCCTTTCGCCACTGCTCAACTGAAATAAAAGTTAATTCTATTGAAGTGAGGTCTTTTGTACAGTTTAGGTGCTGTGGAGTTCATGGTGAAGCAGACTGGAAGGGCGACACTCCAATATCTTGTTGTACCGAGGACCCCTGTAACACCCTCAACCCTCCCAACTGGCCAGAGGTACTGTCGCTGTACATCACATGATCTGCATTATCTCTGTATCTCTGTGCTCAAGATAGAAACACAACACGATGTTGCAGTGATGACATATTTTTATTAGGAACAAGCATTGTAAGAAGTCTCTTTACAAAAAGCAATGGGATTTTGGATTATTGCAGAAAATGAGATCCCGCTTTTTGTTCTGCTCCACATATTACCACTTTTTATGATTTTTAAAGCAGTAAAGCAATTGACAGAAGTAAAAAGCCAACGTTAGGCTACAACTACATCACGGTCGCATGAATGTGCACCGTTAAGCTAAAAGCCGCTAATGTTTAGTATTCTTTTAGTCACTTGTTTTGTTTTGTATAACACATAGAAGCTTCAGGCATTCATGAGTAAGGTATTTACTGACGTTTTGACTTAAAAAAAACGTGAGAATTTCTTCAGCTCGTTCAAAAAAACATTTACTTTGAGACAGGTGCACCGCATGGGGTCATTTGATAACTAATTTTTGAGCTTTAGGAGTTATTCTTTCACCACTCTATAGGCCTACTCTCTGGGTTTGTTTTTCCAAAATGCTTGCACCTACTCTAAAGTTGATTCATGGAGAACATCTGTTGCTGCTACTGTATTTATTTTCTTGGTGTAACTGTATGTTGCTGTAAACACCACGCCAATTGAATTTGTTTTGACTCTTTTGTCTTTCAGGGTTGTCTTGTGAAACTGAGGGACTGGTTTGCCAGTAACTATGTGAGCACGGGCGCAGGTGTTGTCACCCTGTTTATCATACAGGTACAGTACACTCAGTCTTCCTCAGTAAGAACAATGACTGCCATATAAGAAACAGTAAGCTGTGTGCACTATTGACTAGAAGCTGCTTAATACTCTGTGTGTATGAGATATACATTTTAAAGGTGACCTATCATGCAAAATGCACTTTTGTACGTCTTTTATACATGAATATGTGTCCCCGGTGTTCCAGGGAACTCACCAAGTGTCAGAAAACACAACCCTCTCTATTTTCCTCCATACCCAAATCTCTTAAAAAGGGGCTGCAACGGATCTGATA